CAGTATGCTATTGACCTTCGCTGCGCGCCGGTCGATACTGCCGCTGTACTGTCTTCGTGCATACTTTGAGGTATCTTCGTAATAACCTTATAGTATTTACATTATTAGTTCACAAGTTTACCAACGTGGCTTTAATTCATTCACCCTCTAACCCCAATAACGAATACATTTTGCTCAAACATAATCCTGATGGTATTTATAGTGTATCATGTGGAACGATGGTTCATTGCACAAATGATGAGTAATACTGTTTACAAGCAATGCATTCAGAATGCCATTTAGATATATCAAGCACTGCCTCATGACATTCTATATTTTTTTCACATAAAACTGATACTATTTTTACAACCTTTGTTAAAGGTGCCTTAGATTTTACTTGTTCAAACACGTATCTAAAAGAGTCTTCTTTGTGTGCGAATAGTATAAAGGTGACTTCCCTGTCCTCTATTTTAAAACGATCGGCAATCAGGCGTACTTTGTCTTGGCGTGGCGAAATCAGTTGGTTGAGACCAAACATCAAATCCTGATTGTTCATCATGTCTTGTATGGTTTTCTCACATTTGGACGACACTGAAAAAAAACAAATTGATACTACATGTCAGTGATGTAAAGAGTAGTAATATACATCTGTCACCGTAACGTCATAAGTTACAGCATGCCGTCATTTTACGGGGTATTTTCATCCTACCATAAAAGGAAATGTGAATTCCAAATGTGGAATGATTACTTAGAGGTATCCTTGTAATAACGTCATATTATCCTGGCATGTACAACACATGTACACACTGTAGGCAAGCACACATTGGTAGCTGGAACATTCTCCGATTCTCGGACATTTATCTCTGAAGAATTGTATCTATAATCATCAAACATCGCCCCAGTATTTAACAAAAAAAAGGTGAATGTGCTGAGAATAACAGTAATGAACATTCATGTATGCTAGTTAAGTTGTAAGAAAAAAATAACATGTTTTGGCATTTATTTTGGTAATAATCTTTTCAATCTTTACATTTAAGCTACCACACAACAAATTTTGACCATACAGCAAGAATACACTATAACTATTCCACTAATTTCACAACTGCGTGTACAGAATCTGTGAATGATACTCATCAAAACATGATTAGTTCTATGTCAAAGTTTACCCGAAATATTAATACAGTACAACTAATATTGGCACCATCTAGTGGCGAAGTCATCATTCTGTGCCATAATTGGAAATTAAGTAAAGCGTTGCAATTGAAAGTCATCAGTATGTTGCTGCACAACAAAACATAGTTGAGTTGTCATTTTCAAAAATGTTATCGGTACTTCATCACTAGAGGGCGCTTTTTACAAGAAAGTGTGTATAGTCAGTTATGTCAATGTAAAATATTAATCAACTCTCGATTTAAATTATATAGTGGATTACTTACAGTTGTGTGCAGAAATGGGACCTTGGCAGGGGGCTACAATAATTTTCTCTGCAGCTGGAATGTTCAAACCTTTGAAGAATGAGGTCATGTCCACACCTTTATCTGTAATATTGAAACAAAATATAGCAATATATTTTTGGAACTGATTCATCAGTACTGTATGATTGATTCTACATATCAGAGTATGTTATTCCTACAATTAGTGTCACTATATTCCACTTTTGCTGTTTTTTGATATTAAATTGCACTTCGTAAACAAAATTACAATGGAATAGTTTGCACTTTCAGACCAAATCGGGCATTGAATAGCATAAATATACTGTATTCGCTGAAGGAGTGGTTTAGTGAAAATAAAAATACACCTGTTTTCCTATATTTTACATTCAACTCGTCAAAAATCACTGAAATTACAGTAAATTCCATGAAAAACACACAAAAACTCTTTTCAGCGAAAATATTAAATTCACCCAAAATAAAGTATTTTACAGAGGTCAAACTAATCATAGCACACTTACCGTAAAAGTTTTTGCCTTTCACATATGGATATGTGTTCAATTTTTGTTGCTCTGTGCAATCAGATATAGTTGGGGTGTTATTTTTGATGCATGTTGCAATCTTCATTGCCACCTTGTCTGTAACTTCATCAGCCAACTTCATATGGACTTCTGGATCAATTTTTGGAGTGATTGGCACTTGTGAACCGCCATCATCTGTGTTTCCAATTGCTGAAGCACTGCTGAATAAATCATGGCAACCAACAGATTCCATCTTTGTCTCATCTGTCAAGTTTTCAAACTCATTTGATTTGTCTTCCATGTGGGAAACACCTGGGGGTGATACTGTTGCTGGAATGTCATCACTTGGTCCATCATGGTGTGTAGTGTGGTCACCATGAGAAAACTGACAATCTACAAAATTATTATAAAGTCACATGAGTGTTATTGCTCTAATATTCTTTAAAAGTGTTTTTTTTTTCTTCTTCTGATTGAGAGCTAATATCAACATTTTTTATGGGGGGGGGGGGACACACCTGCAAGTGTAGCAGCATGTCTGCTATCACCAGCTGTTTTTCTTGCATTACTATTATCTTCATCTGCATTATGGTCATCTTCTTCATGATTCGGGTCAACATCATGTTTTTCATCCATAGATTGGCTGGGTCCTGGAGAAGAGAAATTAAATGTGTTATTTCAGAGTGATATTCAACACCGGTCCACATGTCGTGAAACAAAATAAGAAATTTTAACTTTGCTTCTCATCTAAGTATTAATAGTCAAATTGCAAGAGGTGGAATTGTATGTAAGGCCCAAAAAACAACAACAAAAACTTATGTTGACCTCAAGTCGTAAAATTAAAAAATTGGGTTGGTCGTTCGGATTTTTTTTTTACCAGAGAAATACAGATCAACCCGAGGTTCAAAGTCGCTACTTATCCCCCCGGGGAACCTGGGGATCAAACAGCGATTCAAGATCGTTAATTTTTAGAGGAACACCTTTTTACTGCTTAAAATGGTGAGTTTTTAATATTTGGGCCTATTTAAAAAAAACGCGACCCGATATTTCAATTTTGTAATATGTAATGTAACAGCTACACTCTCTTTTCACTCTCTATATCACATAGCTATGGGGCAAATAATCTATTGGCTTGCTCAGATGCAGTCTCAATTGTTGATATGTTTACTATGGCCTGTTTCAAATTCAAAAACATGCAACTTAAAATGTTTGATCATCCACACTAAATTCGCATAAATTATGTGGTAATAAAACATTTCGTCTGGTGGAAAAAAAGTTATGGAAACAAAAGAAATGGAATATTGTATATGTAGTAAAAATAGCACTATCGAATTGTTTCGGGTGAAGTGGGGTAACTTTACCTAATGTTGGTTTGTGCATCTTACAATTCGTAAACTTAATATATAATTGGACTTGGTAATCTTCATTTTTCATTTTTTTTGTAAATTACTGTTTATTTTTGTATTTATTTATTTTGTTTATGAGTAATTAAAAAACAAAAAAAAATAAAAACAAAACAATGAATGTGAAATTTATATTATTATTGTTATCGAGGAATTAAATTGCATTTTATTGACTATATGAAAATACATGAATTAGAAGTGAATATGTAAATTTGAATTTGTATTCTGAACGTGTTTCATTATAGGGTTTTTGGTACCTGTTACACACTCGTTCAAACATGCACATGCAAATTTTGGTTGCAATGGTCAATCGCAGCATGCATCTTACTGCATTTAACATTAAAATCATGTTGATTTATACAAGCACACAAGAGATGTAAATATGTATTTTTCAATTCAAGTTGAATCCATTGAATGTGTTATCCCTCATGTCATGTACTTACTTGGTATGACAGCGAGTTCAACCTCACCAGCTGACCTTCCGCCACCATCACATATTGCAGTCCATTCATAAATTCCACAATGATGTAAATCTACATGTGGTATATTATAATCTGGCAGCCTTGTGACTACCTTATTCTCTTGTTTGTGGTACCATGTGACACTATTGACCTGGTATTCAGCATGCTTTGAGGCAAGGGAAAACTTCACTTGGTCCCCTATCATATGTGAAACAAAATTATTAATTACTATTATGGTATTAGTGAAGTATTATACTTTTTTAAAAATTATAATTCATTGGTGGTTGTAAAATTGCATGTTGTCCTATACTGTTGAATACTTTATTTTTGCTTGGAATTGATTTTCGCTGAAGAAATGACTCAGTGAAAATAAAATCCAGCGAATATACCATTTTCCCTATATTTTACATTCAACTTGTCAAAAATCAGTGAAAATAAATTCCATACAAAGCACCAAAAATGTCTTTTCACCGAAAATTTCAGCTAAAATAAAGTATTTTACAGTATCTATAATAAATTATTTGTCATAATTCAGCGTCCAGTGATTGCTGGCCATCCTCTAGCAAAATGAATTTCCAATCACTACCCAGTTACAGATTTTGAAATGCTGATGTTATGGCTTATACACTAAATATTTAGGAGTGTGTGTCCCATCTCAGTGCTTTTGTATGTTGGTGGCACAGGTAAATTTGGTATATATATATGCACGAGTGTTCGGAAAAGAGGATATATTCTCAGACAATATTTATATACCGGTACATACCAACATATGCAGGATTTGGTTGCACTGACACATTGAAAAACTTCTCATCCACAGAGTGTGGTATTGGTGAATGAATATCCACTAAACTAGGAGTAGGTTTAACATTTGGTTCCAAATGGGCCCTACATCTGTTACTACCAAGCCGTGGATCTGGTTCATTGTCAGCAGACTTGTGATCCTCAGCAGACTCAATTTCACCAGGCTGCGTATTCCTGGGTTCTGCAACATCAGATGGTTGTGTTTCTAGACCATTGCCACTGGGCTGGTGAATGTCATTAGACTCACTGTGACCGGGCGGATGCGATCCAGGTACAGAGTGACCAGGCGGATGTGGTCCAGGTACAGAGTGACCAGGCAGATGTGGTCCAGGCACAGAGTGACCAGGCGAATGTGGTCCAGGTACAGAGTGTCCAGGCGGATGTGGTCCAGGTACAGAGTGACCAGGCAGATGTGGTCCAGGCACAGAGTGACCAGGCGAATGTGGTCCAGGTACAGAGTGACCAGGCGGATGTGGTCCAGGTACAGAGTGACCAGGCGGATGTGGTGCAGGTCCAGGCACATCAGAGGATGGTGATTCTGAGTTATTATTCCCATTTTGTGTATGTTGTTGTTGGTTTGTATTCTGGCTTGGGACACGTACACCATTGAATATTATTGAATTTGAATAGTTATTAATAGTGCAGTTTTCTACTTTGTTAAAAATGATAGACATGTTTTCTGAAAACAAAACAAAATGTTTCTGTCAATTATTTTCATGTTTAAATTCAACATTTATCTCATGTCAAACAGAAAGAATATTTTATTGTGTAAAATTTTAACCATTTGAATACAATAGTTTTCCGGGCACTTATTTTCAGTTCGTCTTTTCACAAATTTGTATGTCTTTTTGTTAAATTCAAAATTACTTTTGTGTGGTATGTTATAGTTTCACAGATTTTGATCAACAATGTTTGAAAAAAAAATTTTGGGTTTAATTTTGAACAGCATTATTTGTTAAAATTGAAAAAATGAAATTGAAAAAATAATGGAAATAAAAACAATGCATGGAACAATAACAGAAAAGAAATTGTAGTCGCCTACATTTTGAGAAAGATATTTCACAATGCAAAAAACAAAAAGGCACTAAATATTCATCCTGGAAACAAACAAATTATTACAAAAAATAGTTTGTTTTTTTTGCCATCTGGGTGAAATTAGTGCAAATATTAAATGATTTATAGTTATTTAGTATTGTTGCGTAATTGTTATACTAATATTTCATTTTATTTCATTATTGTTTTTTACATCGTCACAACTTTTACTATTGATTTATTGCTTAATTATTATATGATTTTGAATTAAATATTTGTTTTAGTAAAAGTAAGCGTTATTATTTGATCATGATTGACATGCAATGGATGACTCAGATAGGTACTAGACAAACCATATTAAATTGTAAACTTTCTTGGTACACTTGACGTTTTCATCATTGTGTAATTATTATACAATTATTGTTTCATAATTTGATTGCGTTATCATTATTATGTAATATATTATAATTATGTAATTATTGAACCATTATGTTTCATTATTTTATTATGTTTACATTATTATACCATTATTTTTTTTTCAGTATTTCAGTACTAATCTCACCAACGCTCAACTTGGAGTTATTAATGGTCCATCCAATCCCCAGGTGACCTTCACATTTGTCACAGACGTCATACCGAGTTCCGAGTTCTATGTGAAACCCAAGGAAGCTTTCAGCATGCCACCCGTCACTTGGGCAACTTTTTTGACGTGTGTGAAAATCACAATGACGGAAAAATAGTTGTTCGACCATGAGTTCCCTCTATGAATCATACAGTACTACTATTACAGATCCTGAGTTCAAATTTTGTAACTTACCGTTTTTGACTTCTTTATCTGTTTATCAATAATTCAGTTGCTTGTTGGTTCATGCGTTGCTCGTCTTGGAATAAAAGATGGACTATTACATTAAAAACTGAGTTTATTTTCCAATGTCGGGCAACTTCGAATGTTGGGGACTCCCCCCCTCCCATCACGTGACACATGAAGCGTCCTCTAACGCATGTTATAAAACATACGCTGGTGGCGCTTTACCAAATTTGCTACGTGAACTTTTTATTTTACTACATGTACAAGACACATCGCGATGAGCGTCTTTTGCGGTCAGTAATATTTACGAACATTTTTGTTCACTATTGGCGATCCGTTCTGCTAGGATTGCCCTTAAAATCAATTTTGTGTTTCTGAGTGTGTGGTTTCCGGTGTTTTCACGTATTAATTCTTCTGTGATTGTTTTGGCTTAGCCTATTTCCCTCAAACTTGACAGGCAGGTCACACCATCACCCATGGAGCATCACCCTAGTTATTAGGTAAAATCTGAAGAAAAAAATTGGCCTATCGTTGCCATAGTAACCGCCAAAAAAATGGATAGCTTCGTGCTAAATGAATCTCCTCCTACAAATTTAAGATAAAACTCTTCAGACATAGCTCATTCTACTCAGCTTGAGTGTGGGCACTAAGTTACTATTTGAATTTTTGATATCTGTTTTCATTACCGACAAATTTGACTCTTCTGTGATTTTTTTGGCTGGACCGTTTGGTTCAAACTTGGCGGGCAAGTCACACCTTCACTCTAGTTAGGTTGTAAAATCTGAAAACAAATTCTCGCTCACCGCTGCCATAGCAACAGCCAAAAACTGATTTTTGAATACTTTCGCCCCAAATTTATTACCTCCTACCAGTATTTGTATTATTATAAATAGCAGTGTTTATATGATCATGTTTTTGTTTTTTTTATTTTGGCTACGCTGCGCACTGGTAAGAGGTCACCGGCGCCAACATTGTTACACTGTTGAACTGTACATTGAACTGTAAATGCTGCCTTCAATCATGGAGCTTTTTGCCTCCATGTTTCAATTATAGAAAATACTATCGCAAAACGGTTGGAAATAATAAACTTAATAGCAGAATACGTCCTAGCAATAAAATAAAGTGACTTCTAGAGACTGAACGTTTTTTTGCGAACCTTGTATACGGGGCCCGGTTTTAGTTATAAACCGACGTTAGCTGCACGTTCATGTCCTACCATGGCAACAGCCGAAAACATGATACTTGTTTTTGAGCGGAGCGGATGCCAACCAGCCTACCGGCTTGTTTTATAAACTGGCTTGGTAATTCCCACCACCAATAGTAGACCATGTCACAGCATTTCAAATACGTTTCCAACAAATCCAAAATCACTCGATAATTTTGTTTACTTTACATTTGTACTATGATTACATTTTAAGTTTTGATAATTTTATGGATACATGTACACTCACAAAAATAAACCCAAAATAAGGGAATTTGGTATATAGCCTTGACAAAAAAGCATAATTTTCTTGTCTTAATATTGCATTTTTTTTCTATCTGTGTAACTTCATGTGGATATCCTGATGAGATTTAAAGTTCAGTTCACAACTAACGGTTTTGCAATATTAGAGGCTGTGGACTTGTCCATGGAGGCTGCAAATTATTAAATATTGTATTCACTGACATTTATTTTGTATTTACATTTGCAATTAGTTCCACAGTATCTTTTTCTTACTGGTGTGGCTACAGTGACTGTGTAGTGTTTTTGTTTTGTCGATTGTTGTCAGTTGTTTGTTTTGTGTTCTTGGAATTTTGTACAAAAATCAACAGCGGTTAGATAGGTATGTTGTTTCCATTATGCAGTATATTGTAGACAGTACTTGTATACTTTGTTATCCAGCATAAATATCAAGATTGTTCGGAAGCATGAAATTGTAATGTAAATTTCGTTCATTAATGTTGTAAGATGGCGCTTTCTCCGGGGCCTTCAGAGTCCCACTGGCATGTTGACTATGTTCCAGCCTGTTTACTTACTTGTTGTCAGTGTCTGAGTGGTATATACAAAATACGACCAAGTGAACGTAAGAATATCAAAAAAACAGAAACCTAAAAATCAGTTGCCCATGCCCAAGAGAGCCGCAGAACTAAAACAATCTGTCAGCCGTCGCCGTCCACAGCAGCGATATGATTTTACACATCGAAATTGAGAATCGCAGGTGTAGACAATATGCATAGAAATGAACACTAAATACATCTATCCCGGCCAGCAATCGAATCATGGATCATCATGAGTGACGTAACTGGTATTTCCATCTATTTGCTTCTATTCCCACTATCCTAAAACGCTCAAGTGAATGTTGTCAAATTCGCGAGTGTGCGTATTTTCGTACAGTGGGCGTAACATTGCTACAATCAAAGACGCGCTGAACAGAAAGTCAATTCTGGGCTAGTACCATTGTCAAATTCTGGGGAGTACAGGACTATATATATGGAAGACGTTACAATAAGGAACTAATAAAATTGTTTGATTTGCATATCAAAATCCTTTATTGGAACAGAGCATGTTCTATATTTACCAAAAAACAAAGTTATTATGTTTCTAGACACACAACAGACTCGAAACAATAGAAACCGTCCGATCCGAGCGACCTGCGTTCTCGAAAATCGAGCCTTATCGCCCTTGCGTTTCCGAGCAAAAAAACGTTGAGGCCAAAACCCACCGATTTTCGCCCAATCTTCTATGAATTTTTCATAATTCAGCTAATTCAGTCCAGCGGTTAGATAGAATATTTATTAGAGACGCCCAGAGAACCAAAATTTGGGACGTGAATCGCTCCGGCGACGAAAAATCTGCGAAAATAGCCAAGGGGGTGAGGGACTGCATTTCAAAAACATATTTTATATATAGGGTATATAAGGCCACACTGATTTAATTTTATGGATGACATCCTCTGGAGACCCCAAAACTAATGCGAGAGGGCGAAAAAAAAAAAAAATCCTGCCAAAAAAAAAAAAAATCCTGCTAAAAGCACAGGACTACGGAGCTGCTATTACGAATTGGACCACAGAACACAATGTATCAAAAAACAACAAGAAGTCTTTATTTGTAGGAGGCACATGTTGATATACACATCTCGTACTGTATTACTGTCACAGGTATAACCATTTCAGACAGCTCTCTAGTACATGTAGTCATGATGAAGTACAGTAGACGTCGATTATCCGAAATG